ACTCTTTTTTCTTTGTTCTGTAAGTTCTTACCGCTATACAATTAATTCTATTGTAATTTATACGATCTACCATCATTTTGCTGAAATTCCATTTTTTATAAGCAGCCTTTCGCAGTCTTTTGACTTTGTTACACTCCTCGTCCCACCATGGAACAGGATTGTTATATTCGGAAGGGATAACTATTCTTTTTTTAGGCGTGCTGTCAATCAAACAATTTTTAACAGTATCAATAAAGGACTCATACTTGGCATTGGGTTCAGAGTTAACAAATTCGCCTGATAAGAATGTCGAGAACTTCTTTACTAGATCGGTAGTGAATTTACCCCAATCAGTACGGAGTGTTTTAACTTTAAAAGACTTTTTATGGTATAAGTTTTTATCTAAGTTAATAGTGAAAAATATCGGAAGATGATCAGAGCCAAGGGGATCGTCAAAGACTTCTAGATTATTGACTTTGTCAGCTATATCATAAGTAGAGAAAATGAGATCAATATTGGAATGATTGTTAGATGGATTAATACGAGTGGCTGTATCACGGTTATTTAAAAAAAGTTCGTGATCATCTACGCAATTTGCGAGCTTTGCACCATTACTATTAGTATTGCGACAGTTCCAGCTTATATTGTGTGAGTTAAAGTCGCCTACAACCAGATTCGGGACAGTTCCATCAAGATGAGAAAATATTGAATTCCACTGGACCTGTGATAAATAACCCCTGGCTATATAACAAACAGTAATATCAATCACAGGTGCAATGTCGGTTAAACGAATCTTACATAATTCGACTTTATCATCCGGAGAATCTAAAGTAATGACTTTGAATGCAATGTTCTTACGTATCATGATTAAGATGCCTCCTCCTTTTGAGTCATCGCGGTTTTTTTGATACTGCATTGAAACAATACAACGTGCCGTTTCGGAGAAATCATCATCAACTTTATTTTTCTATATTGCCCATAAAAGAAGTACATACAGTATTGAGCAGCATTTTTTCTATTACTAACACAATGATGTACGGCGCACAAAAAGAAACAAAGATTGGTAACTGTTGGTTTGAACAGGATGGTGCATCCGCGCACAACGCCCCAATCGTGAAAGAATACCTATCGGATAAATGTCCTGGTGAATGGCAAATACAGATTACCTTATGCTTCTAACCAATATTGCTAAAAATAGAGAGAAGAATTAAAAATCGAATAATATACAAGCTGTTCCATTTAAAAATGCAATTTTGTTGTGTGGCAATGGCAATACTTCCCATTGGCCATTACTCTTTAGAAACCACATTGGAAGCGATTTTTTCTGTAAGATTTATTAATAAATTTAAGTTGCTTCAAATTACAATAAGGAATACACGATCGGGGGGATATGGGGGTACCTACCCTCCAGTTAATAACCCCTAGTCAAAAGAAGTGGTAGGTTTTGGACATTATTATTTATAAACAATATTTGAAGCGAGTTTGGATCTAATATTTATGAACAATTTGAAGTGGTTTAAATTATAAGAACTGGAGGGGGAGTAACTCCCAGTCAATACCCCCCAGTCAAAAAAAGGAGTAGGTTTGGAACATTATTCTTTATAAGCAACATTTGAAGCGATTTTCGCTATAATATTATAAAAATTTTCTTTTAAATATTGAATATGAGAACCTTCAAATGTGGTATTTCAAATTAAGAGCCATATCCCTAAAACCCTACGGGGCTGTTACAGTGCCTCCTCCAGGCAAAGAAATATTGGGACATTACCTATTTCTTGCAAACTACTTTTAAGCAACTGTTATCTTAGTCTCACTGTTACATTACTACTGTTTTGAATTAGGGGACCTGTATCTCCCCTCCCCTGCCCCGTTCACCTACATATTTGAAGTGTCATGCTTACTTTCACTAGTAATAAAAAAATGTCGGTTTAAAAAATAGAAATTTATAAAAATTTAGGAAACATTTTTGGAATAAAGCTTTCAATGCTAAATAAGAAACAGAAAATGCGTATATTTGGATTGGAAATCGTGCGAGGCGAGAAGCGCTTGTAAAATGCGCGAAGGAGGGGGGTCGACCTATTTCCCTTAACGGAAGGTTGCACCGCGCCGATACAAAAGCTGTATGTCATCGTTTTATGGGATGGGGGGGGGGGGGGGGGCACAAGCAAGTACCGACTACCATGTCTGTCCGAACTGGGACTGATGGTGGATAAGACGTTCACGGTGCGCAAATCGATATCGAAGAAAGTTTACAATTGGTAAGACAGATTCCCAAGTATAATTTATTCTTATATTCTGTGGTTTTTAAAGCTCGATCACATGTATAATTAAAATTAAAATAATTCAAATTATTACTGGCTAAATAGACAGTGAAAGACCCTAAAGGTTTTGTGTAAAACTTTTTTTGATATCTTGTATATTTTCCGCGGTAATCAACCGTTTCCTTGACTTGTCATCGACGAATCATACTGAATACTAATGCGCAAAAATTCCACATTATCTATGACTTATGTAGCGAATTTTCTTTGGGCGAATTTCCTTAATTCAAGATATTCCGGGGGCATGTTTTAGTAATTGACCAGGATGAATGCATCGAATTCATGGGTGAATAGAATCGCATCAAGAGATGCCAACAGCTTCAAACACTAACACATACAATACATACGTATTTTAAAATCGAGAGATCTCGAGAGAGTACTCCAGCATATTATCAACTCTGAATCTCTTTGAGCTCCCGACAATTTTTTCTACTCTTTAGATACGCTACTACAGAAAACATAAAACTAGCCTCTAACCCTCTTGAGCTTTTTTGGCCATTTAATAAATAATAAATTCTTAGGTTATTTTTCATAGTTAATTAAAGAATAAAAATTTAATACTGCTTAAAATTTGTTTTATGGTTTGGTGAAATATTGATTAAAACATTTTCTTTATTTTTTATAATTTAATTAATTATTAAATTAATCCCTTGATCAAAATTTAAAAATATATAATTGGGTTTACTACTATTCTTAGTTCTTGGCACAAAACAGACAAAAAGTATTACATAGAGCGTAGCGTTAGACCCTACCCGATGGTCATTTTTATTTTCTCGGAATCAAAACCTGGACCCACTGAAGTTTTTTTGAAACGACAAGCACAAACAATTAGGGAACCACTATTTTGTCGCTTAGAAGAAGTGGAGTTGTAATTGAAGGCTGTTAATTTAACAGACTTCGTAAGGTGACAATACAATCTGCGCATGCGCGCATCTAATTTTTACTATATGCGATATGCTTGTCTTTACTAGAAGCATCTGTGGTTAAAATTTCAAAAAAATCTCTATTTTCTTGGCTCGGGCGCTAGAGTTGTAAGCTGGAGAGGGGTGCACTGTATTAAGAGCGAACGGCAATTTTACCGGACACTTCTTTGTGTGGTGATATATAAAAACTCGGAACAAAATAACATTTTTTAACAATTCCCAGACATGCCTAAGATAAGTAGATGAGTTTTCGTGTCAAACGCTGGATTGACCCGAATATTTTTGTGTTGTTTTTCGCCGCTTAAACCGATCGATAATAATTGGCGAAGGAGTACTGTCGAACCTTCGGGGTACCCCAAAAAAACATTTCGCGTGAATGTGAAAGGAATGCAAAGTGCTATTATAATACATAATTAATTGCGTAATAATGCACGTTGAAAGGCAGTAAATGGCATGCACAAACCAAATCACTGTTTTGCAAGAGAAATGAAATAAACGAATCTTACAGTAAAGCCACGAGATTTACTAATAACTATAATCATAAGTTATGTCGTTTCGTAGTCAGCCTGTAATCTCTTCTTTTATTTTGAATAGTTATTTAGAAAACATTTTTTTTTCATCTCAAAACAATTGATATATAAAATTCCATAATAAGTTTACCCACGAACCGCCCGAGGCGATACATAGTAAAACAGATTTAGAACTGCCTAAGATTTATGGATAAGAAAAATATTTAAATCAGGTACTGTACTGGTCAAAGTGGTCGCGATATGAAAGATGAATATAATATACGGGAATGTGCGGTCTGATCTCTGTGATCAAGTGTACATCGTAGGCGGCCTGCTTGATGTGCCCAGGGACACAACATGGCTTCTTGAGTAGCCAATATGGCCGACTACCCATTGTTATATATCCAAACTTACGATGGCATAATAAATACAATCGATTATTTATGATATATATACCTATCTAACTGTATTCCAAATCGTAGAAATTGACCTTCATCGGGTTATGGGTAGGTAAACCATGCAGATTTTTAGTGTAAAATGTTACAATTCTTGTTTTACATCAACAAAGCAAAAAATTCAGTTTACCCCATACAATTATATACATTATGCACTGATATAGATTCCGGTATTTCAATGTGACGAGGAGAGATTTGTTGTTTCTTCAACAAATTATGGATTTCATTTTTTCGTTCTTCACTTGGCCAGCATACCACGTGGACGTACCACGTAATGTTTTACAAGAACCCACAATTGAACTCGTTTTATATGCCTACAGGCAAAGCATATTTAGCTCGCAAGGAAAAAAGTAACATTTCCCATTTGACAGAAAAATTCTACCAGCATGTTCAAGGAAAATCTAGACCGGCATCCGATATTTGATAATTCGGAAAATATGCGTCTGCGAAGTGTACATTTTTAAGTAAAACATGCCCCCCTTCCAACCAAAATCGGTGTATTTTTGCGTTTTTTCCAAAAACTATTTCCTTACGAGTTATTCACTCTGTTTCGTTTTCGTTGTGCAACCTCGTATGTGATTCTGTAGAGTTTCTAGATCCATGGTGTTCTTCGGTTGTTTTAATTATATGAATTTGCTACTGTTTCATGAAAATCCTCCATTGGAATTCTGCAGAACTTGGACCTTGTCCATATATACGTGTCGTGAGGACCCCTAAAGTCATGTAGTTCTGCAAGTACTTCGGTGTGTAGTTATCGTGGGCATCATCATAATTGTTTACGATAAACGCTTAAAAAAAGAAGAAAGATGGGATAAAGTTTAATATAAAATTTAATATAAACGACAATTATTGTTAGTCTGATCTCTCACTTCCATCTGTCCGCTGGTCAAGTATCAATGAGGTCTTCACTTTGAAGGGCAGAATTATTTTCCCTTCTTCGCACCTTTTTCTGCAGCTTGTCTGCTCGCTTCTTGGAGACGCATGAGATAAGCTCTTCTCTTTGCCAATGGGGTACTATTAAACCATTTGAGATACTTCGTCCATAATTTATCAATTATTGGTGGCGGTTCGTCTAAAAGAACCTCCACGAATTCGTGGGCGTCCAACGGTTTATACTGCAACTGCGCTATACGAATTGGATTCAAAATTTTTTCGATCAGTGCTTTGATGGCAGGTAACGGATATGTTCGCGTAACTAGTGCAAGCTCCGACAGGTTCATATTGCGATCGACACCATGATATGCCATCAGCAGCTGCCGCCAATACAAATAAAGGCTGCCGTAGTCCGTCCGCGGAATTAAAATTATCTAAAAAAAGCGCAAATGAAAAAAATGTAAGTAAACGAAGAGGTTTCTTGCCCGTTCGTAGGCTTTCTTCAGTTGAGGCTTCGCGGTGAATGGTTGATTGGTAATCCCCAAGACCAACACTTTATCGTTGGGAGTTATGGGCTTTATGATTCCCTTCATTAGGACGCCTCCCAATTTCTTGGGATCTTCGGCGACTTCATCCGGGGGAATTTTTTTATAAAAAGGTTTTTCGGCACCATCAAAAAATATTATCGACGGCTGTAGAAGGCGTGACAGTTTATTAATGAGATGTACCAGCATGGTGATGTCCTACAAAAGGAGTGGCGGTTAAAAGATACCGTTTTTATTGTCTACCTTCTTTTCTCTATATTTTCCCACCAATACTTTGGATGAGAGGTCAAATAGTACACACTGTGTCTCGTTAAAGATTGCGTTTGCAAGTAAATGCTTCCCGCTTTGGCAGTGTCCCGCAATTAGAACAGATTTCGGTTTCTTCATAGACGCAACTCCCATCGGTAGGATGCAATTCAACATTACAGCGTTTCGTACGTCTCCCAGTGTTTGAGGGGGATCAAAACCCGCCTTGCGGGCCTCCCAACTTCCATAACTGTAATCGCCTAGAAAATCGCTTAATTTGGCGCTCGGATAAGTGTGAATTATTCCGTTGTCAACTAATTCTTGGAATAAATCTTCAATCGAACGATGACCCGTGGGGTCTTTAGGAACCTTCTTCTTCCTCTTCTTTTCCTTCTTCCGTTTTTGCCTCTTGCCACCATCCTTTTGAAGAGCAATGTTCAGTAATTCCAATTCAATTCTATGAGCATGGTGGTAGTTTTGCATGAGAAATGTGAAGCTTACCTCATAAGCTCGTCAACTTGTCGACGAATTTCGAGTTGTAATTCATAACATCCTTCGTCGCGAATTATGTCGAGGTACGGCTTTGGCGAGTCCTCTCTATTATCCCATAATTCCTCCTCCTCTTTAAAACCTAACTTAAACTCCTCAGCGGCGAAATCTGGAAATCTAATTTCGATCTCTCCTCTTTTCTCGCGCTTTTTTGCCGCGTCAGCTTCCTTCTTCAACCGCTCCTTCTCTTTTTTCTTCCGCTCTTTTTCGGCTTTTTTCGCCGCGTCTCTTTTCGCTTTTTCCGCCTTAAGGTCAACAACTCTGTTGCGCGTTTCCAGCCATTCGGTTGTGGTTATGGTTTCACCACGAACAATTAATATGGAACCTCCCATATCTTCCGTAGGGTAATAATCAAAGTTGAGGCAGTCGTCGTACCATTTATGAAACCACACGCGAATTTCATCAGTTATGTCTTCCATTAGACGAGGACCTATAACTCGAAGAATCCGCGCCCTTTCGTCGATGCTCGCTTGAACGTACTCGCGAAATCGTTGATACCTGATTTTCCTACGGGATTCTGCATTTTTTTCCATTAATATCTTTTCGCTAATCGGCTTCCAGCTAGGGTCCGTCATTCCTAATTGTCGACGTTTATAAATTTCACACGCGACATTACCTACCTATCAAAAGTCTTCGGCGTGTTTCAACGATACCAAGATCTCTTCTGACTATATATCCCCTCCACACTCTTTGAATGCATATGGCAGCATCTGTTCTGGTTTCAATCGGGGCATCTTCTTTGTATACCCTCATGGCGATTTGAAAACGAATTTTACGTTGGACGTCCAAGTCATTATAATATATTCGACCTTGTCTCGCCCTTTCGTGATTTTGCAATAACTTCGCCGCTTCGGTAACCCTTCGTTGCCGTTCCATTTCGGCGATTTGTTCTGGGGTTAATATTATAACAGGAGGCCGAAATTTTACTTCCGAAACACTGCCGGGGTAAAGATCATTGGCGACGTACTGGTTAACTTTTGGAAGCTTACACTTTCTTCTTAAGTTTTTTATGGTCACCTTCTTCTTCCTCTTCGTCTTCGTCAGGTGTTTGCGTGTTCGCGTCAATTACTTCGTCGGGAGGGGGCGCAGGAGGTACATATATCGTTTCTCCATTCTCTAGCAATAGTTAACATCACTGGTTAACGTGAGATCTACCGGTTTACCTTAATCGCGGTCCATAAGTCTTCCATATGCAATGACCTTTCACACATTAACCTAGGATCCATTATCTCAACGTCGTGGGGAATTAGCTTACACTCCAGGATGTTTCCATCTACGTATATGTATTCAGAAAAGTCTAACTGAACAAGTGTTTCCTTCAATTCGTTTAGTCGCTTTACTGAAGCATCCACCAGCTTACCAATGGTTAAGCGTCGTTGCGCCTATCATTGAGCGTAATTAGCGTTCATTACAATACGGAAAGATATTTACTGTGGTAAGCATATCAAAACAACCGCAAAGATTCTGAACTATTAAGCTGTACTGCGTGAAAAGACCGCCTATGAAAAATTTGGCTATGTTTCGATCCGTTATGGGGCTGCTGCAGGATTTTTCCAAAACGGCATCCCTTATCCGTAAATCCTTGAGCTGTTTTTTTGTGGTAATCCACCAGGTATTGTAAAATTCGTCCGACATTAGTTTGTGTTCACTAAAATTTTTGGTTTCAAAAAGAAAATTGGTAACTGTCAATTTCTAAAACTCATAAATTAATTTATAATCGTTGCTGTGGATACCGTTCTTAAATCTTTTAGTATCGCGACAGTATCGGTACAGAGTGATTCAGAAGGCGTATACAGGATGATTCGCAATCATAGATCGATTAGCCATAGTAATCGTTCATGCCGTCGGCGTCGACTTGAAGTTCTTTTTGCTGCCAAATTCTGATTTGAGCTAAAATAGTTCCAATGTTGCCTGACTTTCGCTTAGTTGTACCACAGATTAACTACAACTAATCTGTGGTTGTACTTTTCACGGCCGCGTTTCATTTGAAGTAAAATTATAGTTTTTAAGCTAATTCGGTCTGACTTATTACCTTGTATCCATTTGGAGGGGTGCAATTTTTGAACCCCAACAAATATTTTTGTTTATTTTGATTGATCATGTTTAAAAGTTTTACAAGAAACTTTTTAACGCGCATAAAAATGCCACCACCCCTCGCGATTTGAAATTACGAAATTTTGAAGCAAATGCGGTCTTACTTTCTACTTCTGAGTAACTTTTGTGCTACGTCAAATAGTTTTGTTTCTTTTGTTGATTGTTTAAGTGTATACATTACTTACAGAGGTCTACAAATATGCAACCGAATTTTTTAGTTAGAAGTTAGATGTTTATTGTGAGAAAACCGTACAAGTTATTTTATTCAAAGTCCATTGCTAGCTATAGGTACAGTTTTCCCATTTCTCATGCAATTTGTGGATGCCTCACTAAACAATTCTTCATTTTACAATGAGTCATTTTCCCACATTTTCGTAGAAAGTCAAACGTTGCTCGGCCAGTGGATGGTCTATCGATGCAAACAAATGATAAATAATCAAATGATACCAGATTTGGTGATTAAGCCTAAAGTTTAGTTAAATGTTCGAAAAATCCTCCCCCTTTAACATTTGATAGGCATTTTATATTACATTTTGGGAACTGGTCTCTTCCCCCTATTTCGAATCCGCTGAGGCCGAAAACGCATATGACCGTAGCGAAATTTCAACCCGAAGTGGTATATTAAAAATGCCCGCGCTTTTTTCCTTATTGAACGCTACAGATGGCTCTCAGTGACGTAGAAACACCACCAGTATGACTAAATACACTGTAACGTGGTCAAGGACGCAGAGTAAACGGGGCACAAAATAAGTCAGGGAAGCAAGGAACAAATAGCCCTAACCACGGCTGCGGCTGCTCATGGAGAGACTAGGCGGGTAATAGATCAAATTTAAGGCGCCACTAATTTTTATTTTTCCCAGTTAGGGATCCGTGCTCCAAAATTAGAAATTAGCCCTCCGATGGTCGAGGAAATTAGGGCTCAAAAGAAGGGGAGAAATACGACAATTACAGGAAGCATAACATATTTAATTTCGCCTGGGACGTAAAACAAACTATAGGTATAACAAAATTGTGACTCAAAAAAAATGATAATAAAAGCAAACTATTTGCGTTAGGGTTTTTTTTGAGGGGAAAAGAATAATCTAGGGGAGGAAGAAGGGATGGGGGCTAGGTAGGAATTATGGTATAAAGGGTAACACTCAATGAAAATATAGATAATTACCAAACTACTAAGATACTGGGTTACTGCTTATTGTGAGATCTCACATTACATACGGGCAGTGGGGTTACCTTTCTTGATTTTTAATTTATTTATGTATTTATTTACTTGGAGTGATTGGGGGGGGGGGCGAAGCAAAAGGGGAAATATAACAAACAATTTGCGAACTCAATACAATACTTGCAGTTTCTATTCGCGGAGTCCAGCAGGCGACGTTAAGGGTAGTTATATAGAGAAAAGGGGACGGTAAAGAGCAAGGGGAAAATAGGATTAAGAATAGAGGAACGAAACTTAAGCGGTAGGGGAAATACTGAATAGAAAAGGAACAATGAATTAGGGGAACGGAAACGGGGTAAACGGCGTCTTCGTGTCTTCAGATCCGGCTGATGGTGTCGTTTAGGGGCTGCTTACATGAAGGTAGTAGGTAGACGCCGTACAGTAATTAAATTACAGAAAAGAAGGCCCTAAAAGGGGAACGAAAGATAATGACACGCAAAACGACAAACAAACCAAAAAAAAATACTCACAAGGTGGTGGAGGCCTTAAGGAAGAGTCATCCGGTGTGCGACGAACTACAGGGAGTTAAATACAATTCTACAAAAAAAAATACAGGATGTACAACAAAAATTACACAAGGGGGTACTTACAAACGATGAAACGGAAACGCACACCGAAAGATTGTAATCGTAGACCAATACGGCGTGTTTTACGAGATCGCTAAATCCCCAAAATATGGGCGGCTCGATAATCGATATAATAAAAACTTCTCCGAGCTTCTGGAGATCTCAATAAAAAGAGGCTAAATCCCAATTAAGCTTGGATAAAAAATTTGGAAAACTTTTGCACCTCATGCACGCACAGCAAAAACGATAAGTATTAGAATGGCCTCCGGAAATAATAAAAAGGAAGACGATCACGCAATCAAGGACGAAATTTGGGGAAAAATCAAAAAGTAACGGACACTAAGCGGAAATAACAAAAAGGCGGGAAAATAAACGTAAAGCAGGAAAAATTAATACAATACACAAACGATAGATGACGCTACAGAGGAAACCAAAGAAGCGACACAGAACGTAGAAAGCAGGTGAAAGATAAATGAGTAGAAAATCATAAGGAAAAGATTAAAGAGCCAAAAGAAATAGGACGAGGGTAAAAACAGCATCACAGATACACAAAAAAATATACGGCGAATTCCAAACGTAACTTACAGTCCTAAAAGAAATAAAATGAATAGGTACTATAGAATGGTACGCCACTGGTATACAACCACCAACGAAACCCAAACAAAAATCCCTAATTCTAAAACTAAATATAAATCCTAACCTAAAATAAAATCAAAATAAAACTTATAAAGGGGTTTCGAAGGCGACAAGACTAACGACAAACTGAACGAAAAAAAAGGAACGTAACAACACGTTTTCAAGCAAGATTTCGCTTTGGTAACAGGCATTTTCGGACTGAGAGGGGTCGAAAGAAGGGGAAAAGACTGATTGTCAAAAAGTAATATGAAATGCTCCTTAAATTTCGATTTTTCGAAGTATTTAGGTACTAGCCCAACTCTCCCATTCCTTGGTGGGTTGGTGGCACGTTGCACCAAGAAACTTATTGCAAGCTTTTTTGACGAATTGGTTCAATTCGATTAGGTTGTCGATAACGGTCCCTAGTAATGTTGTACCGGGTTTTAGGAGTTCATACCAAATGATACCACGCGTACGCTAATCCCAAAAGATATGTAGCATCGCTGGAAATGGTTTGTTGGGCTACATTTAATTGCTCTGCAAGTTGGTGTTGTGATCGACTATATGATCTACATCCAGCAATGCAGGTGGTATAGATTCCAGAAATTTCGCGCCTTGCGTGAATATCTATCATAACTTCATTGACGACATAATGTACCACATTTTTTGCTGTTCATCAGAACTGTAAGGCGTTCAAAAAGAGACATGTGTTGTGATTAGTATAAGGGCGTCAATTTTGGGACTTTTGGGGAACCGCTACCACCATATGACCATATTTGATACTTTTGGGTTTGCACCATGCATGCCGATGTCGAGACACTGTTCTTCATTCAGTTGTTTTTGCGCATTCATTGTGCTGTTAGAAGTTGTAATTATACTATACGTACCTACTGTTGGATAATTGATTTACGGTATACCTAAGGATTAAACCTTTTTCTGGTATTTTATTTGAGAAAATTCAATACTTACATATATTTTACATGCACTTCAAACAAATATAGCTGCAGAATAGGGAACTTGAAAATTGTTTCATTGAAACACGTTATTTTGAGACAGAGAGAAAACTATATCAAACTATTCAGCATTGATCTTGAAAACAAGGCTTTCGAATACCAAATTGAAAATATGTTGCAATAATTAAACCTTTCAGCATTGAAAGATTTTTAAGCGGTTTTACGTATACGCATTCTATTGATTTTGTGGTCACTGGAAAACAGTTTTTCAGCCAACTTTTGTAAAATCATGTCTGCATTAGTGAATTTTGAATGTATTATATGGGTTTAGTATAATTTTTACTTCGATAATTCAACTACCTATCTGCCTTACCCCCTAAATACCTTCAGCTAACAGTTACCTATAAAGATGCAAGCCGCGTACAGCCTCCACGTAGATTATATTCAAACTACAATGCGCCCGAAGGCATTTAGTTAAACCCCGCATTAACCCTTTATCCAGACATTTATCAATTACAACCCCTCGTATATTCCGCGCTGCACGTACGGTTTTGTCCCTAAAGGACCACTGAAATATGGTTTCAAAGCATGACGATTTCGTGTATATATCAGGTAGCGTTTAGTTAGATAATGTATCTAACCCCTTTATGCCGTACGCATATTTTTCCGTTGTGTACCGTACGCACATTGAATACGTTGAGCACGCATCAGAAGGAAAAACTGCGATTCAAAGTCGTGAGCCAGGGGCGTAACCGGAGGATCCGCCTCGCGCGGACCGGGGCCCCCTCCCTCACAAGCGCATATACACTAAAGTTCAGATATCAAACTCACCCTGTGATTAGCGTAATAAATAGACACTTAACTGAACCGGCGCCGACTGTCCTGACCGCCTAATCACAGGTCAAACGTTCAAAATTATACAGACTTCATCTGACCTAGCGCCAAAGTGAGGGTGGTCAGACAATGTTAACCTTTCGTTTTCCTCATCTTTTTCACAAAGTTATATCCTCTTCTCCTTGTTCCGCGTGCAGAATTTACGTTAACGCCGTTTTCGTTTGATGGTAGGTGCTCTTTTGCGGTATGGGTCATTTGTATCGCTAAAACGTGTTATTAATATTGGAGCAAGATTATGAGTGTGTGTGTTTTAAGAATTTTTTAGCCCAGTTTAGTGGGAGTTTAGCGTTATAGTAATTATCTATTAAAATTATATTACAACGTTTCATTAGGAAGGTGCAAACCGTTTATTATTAAACCTTTCG